TTCCTAATATTTTATGTATTGCTTTTGAATTGAAAAAACTAGTTGTGAGACCCATGTATTACATGAATTTATTCAAAAAAAACATGAAGATCTAACAATTTAGAATATTTATATTTATAAGAAAAAAAATAAAATATTAATTATTAAAATTGAAGTGTTTATTTATCTTTTAAATTTAAACTAATAATTTAAAAAAATAAACAACTAAAATAATTAGATTCAATTTAGAAATTTAGAAATTATAAGGAAAATTGTATTAATGAATTGGATATACATTTATTACATTTAAGTATTATATGAAATTTAATAAAATAAAAAAAACCACAAAATGACACATAGATATAATTTAATCTAAATTTACCACAAAATAACATGTGACATAATGTATAAGAGGATAACAAGTGGAAAAATTATTTTTATTTATTATGGAAGATAGTTGGATCATAATCTGATAATGAAAAAATGATTATTTTGATTATATATATTCCTTTTATATTATTTAATTTCACTGCTGAATCATTAGGTTCTCATCAAGGGGGTGACAAAGGCGTCGCCGTTATTGCCAACATTTCTTGTAGTGTTTTAACCTTGATCAATCTGAGGAATCTACATTAACTTCCATTAAACTTTATATTGATGATCTGGCTTTGGATTATATTGATGATCTGGCTTTGGAATCATGGAATGTTCCTACCATGTGTAATAGATATTTCCTTGAAAAAAAAAATAACATTTTAGTCCAAAAAAATTAATATTGAATCGGGTGCCAACCAGATTAAATTTGGTTATGGGTGTTGATATGGATTTGGTTTTGTGTCCAGGTTGTTCGGACCATATTCTCTTTCTTTAGTTGCAATATGGCGAGATAGGTTTGTATCGTATTGATCATTGGTGGGATCTTGTGATTCCTAATTCAAATTATGTTAGAGACTTGTCTATATGGGTTGATTCTTTGAACGTGTGTATTATGAAACGATCGACCTTTTATGTGATTTTGATGACAACTATATATATATTGGTGCTTTGGAGTTACTAGAATGTGACGGTTTTTGGCTCCAACAATTACCGTAGGGAGGTCATTCTTGATAGAATACTTTTATATTTTTATTTTTTGATTTCTTTCACAAAATGGCAAACTTAAAGTAAATTAAGTTTTCCTGGTTACCAAACTCATTGTTTGTCTTTTTGTAATTGTTTTGTTCTTTTTCTGTAGTTTCATGTTAGTTTTGAAAATTCAGTCGTTCCAAAAAATGTTCTCCAACCCTCGAAGACCACCAAGCACTTAATTTACTTCACACACAAGACAATAAGCTTTAGCTATTCGATGGGGCCCGATTCAAGCTACGGAGATTCAACCTCTAAGCTTTTGGTTAAAAAGGAAAACCAACATTAACCATTAAACAATTAAAGTTAGTTACCTTTTAAGTTATATCACAGCAAGACAGCATTATGTTTGTTAAGCAAGCTTTATGTTTCATTTGACTAAGACAACTTCCCATAAACAACGCTTCTTATATATATCGTAATCTCTTTGCATTTATTTAAATGAATAAAACTTACTTAGCAAATAAAAAATAGCAAGTTTGAATCTCATATTTGTGTAGTATCGAATAAATTAATAATCGTACGTCACTAGTTTCTTGTTCTTGGCTCTTTTCAAGTCTTCAAAACAAGCTACAGTGATTACCCCCACCTCATTACGAGATTCGACAATTTCAAGCGTGCACACACACACAAACATACATACTTAAATTATATACACCTACCATGGTTTTTAATTTGGAATCATCTTCTAAATAAACAAAATTTGCCTCGTATCCTATCCCAATAAGACAAAACCAATATGTAAAATAATAATAATAATAATAATAATAATAATAATAATAATAATAATATTAATAATATGATATGTCAACCGACCATGAACAGGTCATGTCACGTATCCTCTCCCAAATTTGTTCAGGCCACATGTCCACATCTTATTGGTTCTTGTTTTTTAATTATCTAACAGTCTATAAATTACAAGTTTAGATTTTATTTCTTTTACAT